CCTGGTATAGCAGGTGGTTCCCCAGTGGCCTACAAAGCAGGCGATGGTCACAAGGAGGCCCAGGGCTCTGTCCCTGAGGCTCAGTGCTCCCTGGAGGGCAGAAATGTCCATCAGATTCACAGATCCCACGTGTCCCCCCAACATACACACACTCTCAAGTACCCCCGTGCCAAGAAGAGCCTCCCTTTCCCACCTGGGGACCCTAGAGCCTGACTGTGCTGCACCTGAAGGGGCCACAGTAATGAGGAGGGGAGTGCTACAGCAAACCCAGCCCCACACCCCTCCTTCCAGACAAGAGCTGGGGTTAACACCCAGGAAACACTGTACCTTCACCCTCATCCCTGGGGCTGGAGAGGGAGATGGGTCTGAGCTGGGGAGGGTTGGGTAGGAGGCACTGGGAGCTGAAATTGACTGGAAGGGTAGGAGGAAAAGGTCAGGGGGCAGAACAGGGGCCTGCATGGAGCATGAAGCACTAGCAGCCCAGAATGTCCACGGCAAAAAGCCACGTGAGCTGACCAGGGCCACCTTCCCACTGGCACCCCCATCTGCTTCTAACCCCACCACCGGGATCTAGTGAGTGTGCCTACCTCCTCCAGGAAACTGAAAACTGATGCCGCCTCCATCCCCTGAGGATGAAGAGGCCACTCGAAGCTCCCTGTAATTGGGCTGGAGGCAGGTAGTAAAGCCTCCTTCTGCAATCTTCTCTGTCTGAGAATCCTTCCTTCAGGCCCTACATGCAAACGTGGTCAGTGTGCATTTTCCCGACACCTAAGTGGGTCCTTGCCCCCATCAGATTCTCTGGGAGTCAGCAATAACTTCAGACAGGTCCATTCCTGCTCACAGAGTGGCCATTCTCACCAGGTGGGACTGACCTGCAGGTAGGCACCCTTAAGTGCCCTCTATGGGGGTGGAATGGGGGAAGGAGGAGGGCTAGGGCACAGCTGAGAGGCTTCTGAAGGGCTTCTTTGAGGTATACCCAGCAGCAGCCCCCACTAGCTCTCCCTCCCACCTCCGCCTCCATGTCCCTCAGTCCTCCGGGTTCAGGGCCCTGAGATTCTCTTCAGAACAATGAAGGGGGTGGAGGCAGCATCTAGAAGACCACAGACTCCACTACTCCCCCTGAATAGCTCTGAGGCCTCCAGCAAGATGCTCTAGTTCCCTGAGCCTCAACTTGCTCATCAGTCAAATGGGCACTCACCTGTCTAGCAGAGATGTTGTAAAGATTAACCAGATGTGTGAAACAATCTATCTGATGGCAGTAAGTTCTTAACAAATGATAGCTAACATCACCATCACCATGGCCTCTGGGAATATTCACTGAATTAATAACTGAGGATGAAAGAGGAGTTCCAGAGCCAGCTTCTCAGAGGAAGGGCGGCTCCCTGCCTGGGCACCCAGCACTGTTCTTAACAGAGGAATGGGGTGGAAAACAGCAACAGCAAAGCCACATAGAGACGAGCCCTTCAATGCTCACGACAACCCCCTGAGCCTCTGGGCCACACTGCAGACACCGTCATTAAGCCAGGCTGGGACTGCAAAACCAGGCTGCTGGCCCTGAACCCATGTTTCCAGTTCCTGCTCTCAATGAGATCGTCAGGCCACCTCCTCCACCACTACCAGGCCCAGAGGCAAGGCCACCGGCTTCCTTCCCCACTCTGCATAGTCCATTTTCCCAGAATCTCACCCACGTGGCCATGGAGAGAGTGGGGATGGTGCATGGCGGGCTGTCCCCACAGCCAGAGGAAAAAGCAGCTCACTGCACAGATGCCATTGATGTGCCCAGTTGGAATCATGGGCAGGGGCAGGGGGAGCAGTCCCTTCCCGAGAAAACACTGGGCCGCAGTCTCTCCTCCCTTTCAGGCAGGCCCAAACAGCCCTGTCTGCCCTTACCTCGCTCTTGGGCAGATTGGTGGCTGTAAGTCGACCTTGGAAACAGCTCTTGGGGGCAAATCTCTGCTCTACCACCTTCAGTGAAGGACTTCCTTGGCCTTCATTTCCTCACCTTTAGAGTGGAAATAATGATATCTATTCTCCCTGCATCTCTGGATTGCTACTGGGACTAAACGGAGATAATACGTAACCTCTCAGAACACAGAAATGTTTGTTGAGTGAATGAACAACTGACCAGATGGTACCATTCCACTTTCAAAGCACTTAGACTTCAGGGCTGCAGGGACACCATGGTGACCTCTAGCATTGAGTGGCCAGGATAGGGCACTGAGGGTAACCACACAGGCCACAGAAATGGTGCCTGGCCCCACATCCGTGCCCAACTCACCCAGCACCTGCCCAGAATGAGGGTGATCATAGATTCTAACTGCAGGGAGGTTGCCAGCAATAACCCAAATTAAAAAGCATAACCATCCCTATCACAAAGACCATAACTGGTCAGGTGCATCCCCTCTTGATAAGGATGAAAATGAAAACGGCAAGAAATACACACAGCTATCCATGGACCACATGGCACAATCCCACAGTCTCAAAACCCACGAGGTCTCACACTCTCCCATGCAACCTCAGAGACAGCCAACCACACACCCCGGACTCACACACAGTCAATCATACATAGCCACCGTCACAGTCTCACACCCCTGAAGCTGGGCATACAGTCATACCTACAGTCACCAAACAGCCATCACTCAACCTCAGCCACAAGTCCCCCTCCACTCCCTCTCACAGCCATCCCCACTGCCTGCACAGCCAAGCACACCCAGAGTCTGCCACACCCACCCCACTCACGCCCCATGCCTCACACACAGCAGGCCCAGCTCCTCTCGCAAAGCTCATTAGTCCATTCCTTGCCTATTCAAGAAAGCTACTGCTTGGGCAGGTTTTCATCCTGCAGGGTAGATTTATTGATCCACGGTCTGTTCATTAGTCATTTGCTTAAAACATCCCAATGAAATCCTAGTAACTAGGCTGAGGTCGTTCCCAGGGCCTCTGCCCACAAGGGTGTTTTGTTTCTACTTCTTTGCCTACAAAGGTGCACTTTCTTCAGTCCAAAGTAGTGTCCATGGTGTGACAGCAGCCTATGGACACCCTTTCCCTAGACTCTTGTCCCTGCCCTCTCAGGAGGTCTAGGCAGCTGCAGGGACCTCATGAATCAGTGGGTGGGTGTTAGACATTTGAGGCAGCGGTGGGGAGACAGCCTGTGTTTTGGTCTGGCCCTGCCTGACCCATTGGTCATATGAGAGGATAACAGCCTTGAAGAAGGACGAAATGGACAGAGGGAAGGAGGGGAGAGGAACCCTAAAGCAGAGCAGGATGGCTCTAGGTCAAAGGCATTGGACCTGGTGGGCAGTAGGCAGCCTTGCTTCTGAGGACTGCAGTGGGGCTCCAGGGGCATATTCAGGGAGAGGTGGGGCCCTCAGCCTGGCGCACTGGGAAGACAAGAGGAGGGAATGGGAAAGAGCAATCCGAAGAAAAGGACTGAGTACTGAGTGAGGAGGAAGGCACAGGGAAGCCAGAGACCACAGGGGCACGGGAAGGAAGTTCACGACCCTACTGGGGAACACCCAGCGCTGGGACAGGGAGCATGTGCCTGTCCCACTGCACTTCTCAGAACAGTTATTGCCATCCACCACTGCCCCAGGGGCTCAGACCCCACAGGGGTAGAGCACCATGCAGGAACCACAGTTGCCAGCCCTCTGGCCTGGTGACCCTGAGTCCCAGACCCTCCTTGGGGCTGCTGCAGAACCCATGGACAACCCTGTGAAGCTCAGTCCAGGAGGGCCCCCAGGGGTGCTCCATATCCAAACAGCAGAAGCACCCCTGGTGACTCTTGAGCTCCCCCTCCTAGAAGCTGCCCGAAAAAAACACCAGGGCCAGGGGTTGGGCAGAAGCTGGGTTGAGGTCCTGCAGCCACCAGCTGCTGGGCCTCACCCACTTGCAAAAGAGAGGGGCAGTCCTGTCTAAATGAAATGTTGTTTGCCCCTATTAATTTTTAGATCGTCTCAAGACCGTGGATCAATAAATCTACCCTGCAGGATGAAAACCTGCCCAAGCAGTAGCTTTCTTGAATAGGCAAGGAATGGAAAAAGACAGAGGCTGGAGGTTGCCTCCTGATACCAGCTGGCTGTGTAAGATGTGCTCCTCCAGCTGCCTGGGGCCTCCCTCAGTTTCCCCATTGTTCACTTAATGGGGTTGGATAATCCATAAGGTCCCCCCTGCTCGAATGTCCTAAGACTTTCTGGAAAGACCACATGATCCAAGAAAACAAGCAGCCCCACTGACCCTGTAGGGTTTCAGACAAAGGCAGGGCCTTAGGGCTGCCACCTTCGCAGAGGAACAGGTGGACCAGCCATGGTTCAAGTGCCCAGGGTGCCTGTACCAACAGTGTCACCTCAGGCAAGCTCTGAACCTTTCAGAGCTTCAGATTCCAAACACTGGAAAAATGAAGAATGGACCGTTTCACAGAAAAGCATGATGTAAGGACTGCAAGACAGCATCACTTCATGGGTGTCTCAGGTCACACCTGCAGCTGCAGTTCAACTCTGGTTACTACCAATCCCCCACATCACCTGCCACCAGTTACAACCCCCACAGCAAAGGACAATTAGCGTGTCCTGCCCTGTTTGTTTTTCTTCCTACCCGAAGGTATTAGTCTCCTCTGAGTTCCAAGCATCTCTGTCAGTACATGGAGGTGGGCACAGAGGTCAGGTGGGCTGCAGCCTCCCAGGTTTTACATCTCCTTCCAGGGACTGGGGCTTATGCGGCACTTTCAAATGATAACAGATGCAGCCTTGGTGAAACATAATTACTCTTGAGACTAGAAGGGTAAACAAATGTGTAATTCATGGATCTGTTCATTGTCCTTCATTCTGATCTCCTGCCATTGTCCCTAGACTGTCTGGCATCGCACTTGTCAAGGATTCAGAGAGTGCCTGGAGTGAGCCATGAGGTGACCAGAGTTAAAGCTGGACACCTGCACTCACCCTCCTCCCAGCCACCCCCTCCAGCGCCCTCCCCCAGAAAACACACAAGACGGGAAGCCTGTGACACTCAATCTTTTATTTTCTTAAACTGTACACAAATGTAAAATACTTTAACAGCAAGTCTATGGGAAAATCGTTTGGTTTTAAATTATTATGAAACAGAACCTAAAGGGAGCTTTATTAAATAAACACAAACATGGGGATCGAAGGATACACACCTGCATTCTACCAGTCATTTTTACTCTACCGTCTGGGTGTGTGAGAATAGAAAAGACTCATCAAACTGAATAAAGAAAATCCATTTATACCCTGAAACACTGGCAGGCCACTCAAGGGATTGTTCAGAGCGTCTACCTCATATAAGATGGCCTCACCATCTAATAAAAATTAAAACTGATCTGTTGGCCTCTTTGGTTCCAAAATTATGTATAATACATTTAACTGTATTTTTTTTGCTGCTATAAAAATAACTTCTTTTTTCAAATGGCAGTTTCTGACTAATCATGCAACTAAATCAGTGCAAACATTAAAAGCAATCATTCGCTTTAAAAAGAAGCAAAGGATTTCACTTCAAGTATAAAAATATAAAAAGAGTCGTACAAGTCCAGTTTTGTCTAGTGTGGGTCAACCCTTTAAATTGCATAGTTCACATGGCACTTGGACACCTCAGGGTGAGCAAGTTCAATGCTCTGCCAGTGGCCACTTCTGACACACACAGATGGGCAAGTGCTATATCATGTGCGTTTGGGCAGGTCTGCAAGTGCTAGGAGGGGCTGGCTGGCGGGCAGGTGGGCGGGCGAGCGGATGGGGACCAGGTCCATGGCCAGCCCTGGGGACCAGGGCCCACGCGCCCTGGCAACTTCTGCAAAGCAGCCAAAAGCCTTCCCCATCTCTCCAAGAGCAGCTAAACTGCTCCTCTCCCTTGCCCCCTGCTGAAGGGGCACCCTGTCTCCCCCTACCACCCAGAATTTCCAGAAAGCCTCCACTCCACCATTTCCTCCTGTGGGCTTGTTGTCCCTTTGCCCTAGGGGTCATTTCCACTCCTCTCCAACCAGTCCTAGAGGAAACAGATTGCAACTTTTTCTTCTTTCCATTTAAAACAATCCAGATTTTAACTTACAAAGTCCTACCTGGTAGAAAAGTCCCTTTTCAATTAATGCAACTGGAATGAATAACCTGTCAACTGCTAGCAATCAGTTAAAGCATCAAATTAAGACCCTTCTCCTCTCCCTCCCTCCCCACTCCAAAAATAAACACACATATAAGTCACGCCAAGGGCCAAAGCCACAGTCAAAAGGTCACTGTCACTGCTCCACAGACTCTGGCAGGTCGTGCACTTTATGGATGCCTTCCCTCTCTGGGAGAGAAAGGACAGGCTCCCCTGGTCCCACAGCACAAAGGATCCAGGCAGGGGAAGATGCCAACAGGTTTGAGCGAGGAGATGCTGAAGCACAGCAGGCCTTGCACAAGCAAAGGGCGCCACACAGCCCTCAGCCTGCCCACACACTCCCCACCCCCGCATCTGCTTTCCTCTCAGTGGCTCCGGTGCACGCTCACTCTGTGTGTTTGTCTGTCTTTGTGCTTTTATGTGTGCTCCGAAGGCGTGATTCAGAGTGGCCAGGCCAGCTGGTGGGAATGGTGGCTGCTCACCCCATTCTCTCTAACTGACAGGCATTTGTAGCTAAGCTGCCATTTGTCACTGCATCCATTTGCTGGTATCCTGGAGGCTGCTGTGTGGGTGGCAGGATGCGTCTGGCTGTGCGTGTCTACGTGTGCATTTTAAAGTTTTTCATGTCAGTTGAGGGTTCTTGCTCTGCTTTTGACTGATTGCTGGATAAAGTAGTAGAAAAATATTTCAGGCTTCACCCTGGCACCTTCTGGGCAGCCCAAACGAACAACAGCACTCAGCCCGCCACACACCCACTTCCCACAGGGGCTGCAAGAAAGCCCATCCAGGACTGTCCTGACGCCCCACCACCACAGCCCTGCTGCATCAGGCACAGCCACATTCCTCCACAATCATGTTGGGCACGTCCCGCTTGACAATGTTGTACTCGTCATCAAAGTAAAGCATGGACATGGTGCTCAGTTTAGTGGGGATGCAGCAGGAGTTCACCGTGCCAGGATTCAGCCCCCGCATGCGGTACTGATTCACCACAGCTGTGTGAAAGGAAGAGGCTGAGCCTGGGACCCCAGCTAGGTAAGCCGGGCAGCTGCCCTCACAGTAGTTCCCATAGTAGCCGGTGGGTGCGATGATCCAGTCATTCCAGCCGATGAGGCGGAAGTCAATGAAGAACTGTTGCCTGCAACAGAGATTGGTCCGGCCATCACACTCCAGACCCCGCTTGCGAATGCGGTGCCTACTGTCACCCAGCCGCGCCTGCACAACCACAAAGGGCCGGTGCGACTCCTCACCAGGGTCCACGAACACGGGCACCACAGCCAGCTCCTGGCAGCTGTCACACTGCACGTCCAGGTTGAGTCGCCTCTCCCCCCGCTCAAACAAAGCCTGGATGGCCTCTGTGAGCGGGAACGTGTGCCAGCCACTGCGTTTGAGGTCCACCTTCTTCTCTACTACATTCCACCGATCTCCATGCCCCTGCTCCTGGTAGTACACCTTGACCCGAACCTTCCGCCGACTGCCCTTCTCCAGAACATAAGGCAGCAGCTTCAGGTAAAGCCACAGGCTGGCCTGTACCACAAACAGGTTCTGGTTGCCTTCATTGGAGATGAAAAAGTAGAGGCGGACACGGGAGGAGGCGAGGCCATCTGCGGAGAAGCGGGAGAGCAGGCCAAGTTAATTCAAGGAGAACACAAGGCAATGGGGGAAATAGACTCTGCTGCACAATGCTGGAATGCTAACTCGCCTCACAGCTGGAAAACGTTATTGACCAGAAATACCGTTCCTGGGGCCAAGGCCCTCTGACTGTAACCTGGGAGCGGCAAAGAAAATCGTTTCCCATTGAGAACCATGGAGCAGGTTGGAGGTGAATGGTCCAGGCCTATAAAATCCTGCCTTACCTCTCCCAGTCCAGGGTTCCCTGGAGACAGGCTGTCAGGCCTCAAAGCTCCACAGAGGAATTTGTCAGGAGGCCAAGATCTTAACAAGTTGTTATAGGTCTCTGTGAAATCTAAAAAGTAAAACCAGTATTATACCGAAGATTTTGGGGTGGGTTGTTACTGTAAAGTGTGTGTGTGTCTGTGTGTGTGTGTGTGTGTGTTGTTAACTTAGGGCATTGCAAAATCAAGATGAGCCACCTACTGCCTCTTTCCAGTGTTTACCTAAGCATGATCTGATCCAACCCCCAGTGGGACCTCCACTGCAAACAAGCAAGCCCTGCTCATATTTCTGACACAGGAAAGTGTGCTTTGCAGACTGCAAAGTGCAGCCCTCGTTTCCGAGTAGGTAGTTCCAAGGGACAGGACATTTAGCCTTGAAACTTGAGGTCCATTCCTTTGACAAGACCCGGGCTCCCCATTAATGGCACATTCTAAATCTCCAAGGAAAGGGGGGAACTGGCTTGTTAGTTTTCTCAATAACTCAGCTCAACAAGAAGAGACCCCATGCCAACAGATAGATGACTCCTCTCTCATTCTGTTTTAGCAACTCTTCTCTCTGACAATCTACTTTCTTGTTTTTTTCTTTCTTTCTTCCTTTCTTTCTTTCTTTCCACCCCCCACCCCCAGTAAGAACAAATAAAGCAACTGTATGGCTATGGCTAGTTTTATCAAACCTCCTACCAGTGTCCCCCCACCCAGCCCCCTCCTCAGGCCTCGCTTGGTTCCTCTAATAACATCTACATCTGACTTTGAAATGGGGGAAAGTGCAGCCTTAAAAGCTGGTCTTGGACAAGCTGCCAGTGACCTGAATCTGTTATTTATAAGTCAAAGAGCTGGCTCTACGAAACAGACCAGAAATATAACAGCCCCCGCTGTCATTTTGTGCCACCAGGACCAAAAGGCCTCCTCGACCTTCCAGAATCACATTTCTACTCTGGGTCCCAAAGCATCTTTTAATCCAAGCTCTCTAATTGCATGCCCAGCTTCCCCACTCGATCGGACAGCTAAGACAGCAATGTGTTTCTTTCTAAGCACAGACTAGTGCGGATTGTCTCTGCTTTTCTCCACACCGGCCATGCAAAACTTTTCATCCCTTTTCATCCCCAGGCGGCACCAGCCCAGTCTGCCTGCTGCCTCAGAGGGTGGGGGCATTTGCAGCCTGCGGGCACAACTGTTCCCCCCACCCCAGGCTTCCTGCCTAACCCCCACCCTGACCACACGAGGGCTTCCCCCTTCCCAACCTAGAGGTAGTCCCCTCTGAGCAAACCGGGCTGAGTCCCAGGCACAAAAGCCAGCCTGGCTCATTGAAGTCCTGAAAAGGACAGCGGAATTGAAAACACAGCATTTCAATGCGGGCACATTTTTCTCCTTCTTTTAAAGTTTGGAAAGATTTTTTTCTATCTTGATTTTTATATTTAGACAGTGGTAGAAATTTGCAACCCAGGGCCAGAGGAGAATCCAGAAAGGACTCCTACCCTTTGTTAACTACAAACTCTGTGGCTCTCAGGCAAGCGGGTTGCTTGCGCTGCCAGGCGAGCCCCAAACCATAGGGCTGTCCCCCAGTCGCGTCTTTCTGTGCGTAAATGATGGGACCTGTTGAGAAGCTTGCCTTCCGCCGGATTCCAGTGCCCACACAATCGGAAGAGGTTGCCTAGCTCTCCCTGCTGAGGCTTCAGCAATCCTGGCAAGCCCACGCCGCCCGGTGATGGCAGCGGCCCTGGGGCCTCTCATGCAGGCACGCACACACTCACACACGCGCACACACTCACACACGCGCGCGCGCGCACACACACACACACACACACACACACACACACACAGCTCCTCCGGCCCACGAATATCAACAAGCACACACATCTCCAGCCACACTGCTAAGCCTACACTCCGATCGTGGGAAACAAAAACATTAAGCAATCACTAAGCAAGTGCCTGCGGAGCCAGGGCCGCACGCAACTGCCGGGAGAGGGACGCCCACCCAGAGGCGTTGGGGTCGGATTACCGAGAGCAGGGGTAGAGGGCAAGGCGCTCCTCGGCGAGAGTAGGGGGAGCAACAAGAAATCTGCTCCCCGGGTTAAGAAGACCGCAATTGGGACCGAGCGCACGGAGCCAGGGGCAAGCGCCTGGGCCGCGAGTCCAGGTCCCGGAGGGCGCGCTGGCTGCAGCGGCCAGAGCGGGCAAGGAGAAGGTGAGGGCTTTGGGAGGGCTCGAGGGCCACGGCTAGCTGCCCGCAGGACCGACCCACCTGTCTCCGCAAAGCTGATGATCTCGGAGATGCGATCCTGGCCGTCGGCGCCCGGGCTGGCATGGCCGTCGAGGTGCGGGATCTCCACACGGCCGTCCTCGCGCACCTTGCCAGCGTGCAGCTTTCGCAGAGCCGTGACCATGGCGGCCTTGGGCACAGCGTGGGTGATGTTGGGCCGGCCTCGCATCTGCAGGCGGCTCAAGATGTGCCGCTTCACCGCCTCCAGGAAGTCGCCGTCCACCCGGCCCAGCTCCTCGGGCCGCCGGAAGCCTCCGCACGACGTGCAGGTGTCCTGCGAGTCGCCTGGAGCTCCGGGCGGCGGGGGCGGCGGCGGCGCGGCGGGGGATGGCGGGGGCGTGGGCGAGCCCCAGGCCTCCGGCCCCAGCCCCAGCCAGCCGGCTGCCAACAGCAAAAGGCAGGCGGCCCTCAGCGCCCGACCGGGCAGCCCGTCCATGGTGCGCCGCTGGCGACGAGGGCGCCCGCCGCGAGGCGAGCCGAGCGGAGCGCAGGGCCGGGCTCCGGGCTCTGGGCGCGCCGCCCCTCCCCGCCCCCGCCCGCCCGGGCCTCCGCCCGCCTGCCGGGAGGGCCGCCGCCGCCGGCTCTAAGAGGGAGGGGGCCGGCGGGGCTGCGGGGTTTCTGCTCCGAGGGGAAGGGGCGCCGAGGGCCGCGGGGGCCGGAGAGGCAAGTGGGGCTAGGCGGGAGCTGGAGGGTCACTGCTGTCCGGGCGTCTCGGGGCGCCTGAGTATCTGCAGCCTTCTCCCCATCTTCTCCGCGTCGGGGCCCCGCAGTCCCCGCTCGGATGAAGCGAAAGCGGAGGCAGCGGCGGCTTGGCTGCCGGGAGGGGAAGGTGGCGAAAGGGCCGGTCGACGCAACTTGGCCGAGACGGAAGCGAAGGCGCTAAAGCCCCCGGAGTGCAGCCGGGCGCGGCTCGGCGAGGCGCTGCGGCGGGCTCTGCGGCGGGGCCCCACACTCGCACCTGAGCGCCGCTTCGCACGGAGGCAGAGCCTCGGGTGGCGGCCGCGGGCGGGTCGTCCTCGCCGCGGGCGGCGGAGCGGAGCGAACGCAGTGCAGGGAGCGCGGATCCGCTCAGAGGCGACGCGGAACCCCCGGCCGCGGGCCCTGCAGTCCTCCCGGCGCGTCACACGGCAAAGTTGTTTCGAGGCTCACGGGGCGCCGCATCCATCCACCGGCGGGCGGGCGGGCCGGCCGCTGCGCGCTTCGCCCGGCCTCTGCTCCGCCCGCCTCCTCGCTTCGCCCTCCCTCTCTGTGCCTGCCTGCGCGGGCCGGTGGGTCGCGGGGCGCCGTGAGAGAAAGGCGAAGCCCTGGCAGTGCTCTTCTCGCCCCGGCTCTTCTTACTACTGCGGCGGTGGCGGTGGCGGTGGCGGTGGCGGTGTCGGTTCGAGCGCCGAAAAGTCTCGCAACGGTGCGGGTGCCCTAGCTCGCTCTCCCACTGGCACCAGCCGCAGGGCCGGAAGAAAGCGGGCGGGTGGCGGCTGCGTCCCCGCGCCCGGCTGCAACACAGAGTGCAGAGCCCGCTGAGGAGGAATCCTCTCTTTGCCCTCTCTTTTACTCTCCTCGTTTTTTCTCCCAAGTGGGAAAAAGCCGCACAATCTCCGTAAGTGCGCGCGCGTTGAGATAGACGTTGGCCAAAAAAAAAAAAAAATGTTGGCGGGGGCGGGGTGGGGGGGTCGGGTCTCGCCCTCGACATGCGGGAGGAGACTGTCGGTGCCTCCCTGCTCCAGCTTCCCCGCGGGGGGGGCGGGGGGGGCGGCGCCGGGCGGGGGGTGGGGGGGGTGATGGTGAGAAGAGGCGGAATCTGCTCAGGTCGGTGCTGCCGGTTCCCCCCACCCCCACCCCCACCCCCGCTTCCCTCCGATTTTTTCCTTTCTGCCCGAGCGCGAAGGAGGGGCGAGCTGGCCCTATCCCTTCCCCCCACCCTTGCAATGCCCGGCCACTTTTGCTGTCTCGAAACTTTCCCACCACGTGGGCACCCCGGACCCTCACCCAGCTGGGCGGCAGTTGGCACCGACGGGTTCCGGGCCCAGGATCCCGGCACTTGCCCCCCTCCCCACGGCCGCGCAGGCCTTGCCTCGTCCCTACTGCCGCCCTCCCAGCTCAAGAGAGGCAACTCCCGCCTCTTGAGCCTGGCGAGGTGGGCTCGGGGAAGTGCGGGGAGAGATACAGCTTTGGGAAGGAGGGCTGGCTTTGCTGGCGGTTGTCGCTCCCCGGCTGCAGTGCAGAGCCTTAGCAGAGCGCCCCGGGCCGCGGCGCACTGGGAGAGGCGGGGGACCTGCAGGCTGGAGGGGCAGGGGAAGCGGCCGCTAGAGGCCTGGCTAGCCGCCGCTTTCGCAGGCTCTAAGCCTTGAGGAACTCCTCGAGGGTGCGGGGATCCACCACCACCACCACCACCACCCACCTACCCACCCACCCCTCCAATTGGCAAACCTTGGCCTCGGATAAACCCGAGTTCCAGTTGAAGTTCAGCCACTGCCAGCTTTGTAGGAGTGACCTTGGGTACAGCCTTCACCCTCTCTGGGCTCTACCTCCTCATCTGTAAGAGAGGGGACAAGAACACCTATTTTACGCGGGCTGTTTGGGAACCCCCAAAGGAGAAAACTGGGCCAATCTCCTCGCAGAACCCAGTCAACTCTAATTTCAAGGCCACCGTTCTCATGCCACCAGGCAAGGGGCGCTGTCATTGGAAACCGAACTCCCACCCGCGTGCAGACCCCCAAATGCCATCCGTTCCTCTGTCCCTCCTTACTCCCCGACCTGGGCGAGAAGCAGCACTACAGGGTACAGCGCCCAGCCAGAAACAGGGCCCTGCCCTCTCCCCTCCGTCATCCAGATCCCCCACCCAACGCGCCCCGAAACAGGCGAAACTTGAAGGCCGAATCTGGATGGGAGGTCATTCGGGCTTTTCTAGGATATTGGACAACCCAGGACCACCAGAGGCAAACCGTAGCCTCCAGTTCAGGATTTCTACCCTCCACCCCAAACCCCTTCTCGAGCTTCTCAGGCCAGCCTAGCTGCTTGGGAGCTCAGCCCGGACCGGAGACCCGCAAATCTGGAGGCCGAGCGCCCCCTCCCTCCCAATCAGAGGAACCGACCGAAGATGCCAGGTGGCTCCCGAGGCAAAAAATGGGGCTAGCCGGTCTGGGTTCTACAACCGGGAAGCTGAAAGAAGCAAAGGCCCTGGAGGGTCCTTGGGATGGCAGACCTTCTGCCTCCTTAGGGCTTCTCCAGAGCCCAGCTCTCTGCAGCTCCCAAACAGCACTCTGTGCCCTCGGGTTTCACCCCCTGCCCTGTCCCAGAGCCTGTGATTCCTAGGCAGGAAGGAGGTGCTTCTTCCTCCTGGGGGAAGCCTGGGCCAGCACCTTCTACCCAGTGGCCCTGAGCTAGGCTGGACCCAGCTTTGTGGTTTTGCTCGCATCTTCCACCAGGCACACAGGCTGTGGTCCTCTGCATTTTTCCATCACCACAGCCATCAGGTACTTGGCAAATTCTCAGTCTTAAAGTCTCAGCCCAATATCTCCTCCTCGGTGAAACCTGCCATGGCCTTCTTGTGCCCTGAATAATTATTTGTCAGATTAGGCCCCTCAACCCAGGGCCTAGCTGTCATCTCCACACCTGTGTACCTCCTGCGTGGGGCCTCAGGCTCCTGGAGGACAGCAACTAGGCCTCATGGGCCCTGTCTGATGCCAGACCTGGCAGATGATCCAGGGAGCTATTGAACAAATGTTTCATTGGTTGATTGATTAAATGAATGGACGAGAGAAGTCATTAAGTCAGTGAAAGATTTAACACCCTCCACTTCCCAGCACAAGCCCTCACAGCAGTGTTCCTTGCCTGCCTGGTTACAAAACTTCGTACTGTGAGTCCCACCTGGGCTGGACAGGGCTGGGGGAAGGGAAAATTGCTACTCGCCTTTGGGGGCATCCTATCCATTGACCTGGCACTGGGAAAGGCAAAAGCCACTGCATCCTTGCTGGTAGGAGGAGGGAAGAGGAGGTTGAGAGGAGGGTCCACATTTTGCTCCCCTGGTGGAGGAGCTGTCAGCCTTGCTGCTGGTCATCTGCTGGGAGGGAACTGGGTCAAGTGGTAGTCAGAAACCATCTGCTCAAGAAGCTGAGATTATCCCGCCCTCTGCTGATCCCCCAGCCCGTGGGAGCTAAGGGTGTAAATTGAGTTCTTCCAGGTCACCTTGTGCTTTGGTGTGGGGAGCCCCCACCCCCTACTGAGGGGCAAGGAACTGTTCCTGTTGCTTCGAAGCTTCATTTAGCACTGGGCTCAGTTCTTGTACTGGCAATCTCAGCCTTCAGTCTCAGGCAGGGATATGATTGTGCCTGTCAGTTTTGAATACAATAATGCATATCAATGTTGTAGCCAACGCCCTGCAAATGGGCTGCAGGGCCAGGCCACGCCCCCCCACACACACACACACAATGCTAGCTTCCTGCTGCCATCAAGGAATATGGGCCCAATCAGGAAGGTAGGAAGAAGCATGACCACATTATGGATATGGGCACACAGACCATGGAGAAGGCTTCATTAGGGACTTCAGAGCACTTGCTCTCTCGGGATTTTTTCTGCATAACCCACAGGTAAGTGTCAACTTGAGGATGATGAAAACATCCAAAGTGACAAAGCAAACCATAAAAATGAGTCTTAGGGCTTATTTGCTAAAAGAATTGAGAATTCAGGTACAGTACCTGACCACACAGCCTCTGCGGAGTGTAAGGGGAAGAGAAGTCCTTCACTTTAGTGGGCACTCACAGCCTGCTTGGTAGAGTTGGTTGAGCTCAGGGACTTGATGTTCACTTTTGCACCACTGGCCCAGAAACTTCTGTTGCCGATCACCATCACCCATCACGCCTCTCCAGAACAGCTGTCTGAATGGAAGGAGCCTTGTACCAGACCACGTGAGAGGTCCTACCCACCCAGCGGCCTAAGAAATAAGGGAGGGGCAAGCCTGGAGCCAGGTGTGAACCAGGATCCAGCTGGAGGGCCCCCAAGGGGCAGGGGGCTAAGATGACCCTTGTAACAGTCCAGATACCAAAGCAGAGCTCCTTCAGAATGCCTTAAGGCATGACTTTGGGGTAACACAGGCAAGTCCTTGAAGAGAAAGTGGGCATGGAAGGGTTATTTTGACAAGAAATCCCCGAATTTCCCACCAGGGCAGTTGGAGAGTGCCTGTCTTTCGAAGGCCCCAACAGCCCCACATCCTTAAGTCCCTCCAAGGCCCGCCCCCCCCCCCCACCCACCCACAGTGTCATCTCTGAAACTCATGAGCTCCAGGACTGAGACCATCTATGCTATTCATCTGTAGCTGCCCAGTCCCAGCACGATACCTACTCGGAATGCTTCTCAAGTGAAGTATCACACTTGAGAAGTAATGGATGAAAGAGCTGAGGCACCATATTCGACTTCAATGGGCCTGGGGTTCAAGTGCAGACTCCTAAGTTCCAATTAGCCCCTCACAACAGGTCACTGTGTATGCTCCTCTCTGGTGTCCCACCAGGCATATGCATGCTGATACAGCCATGTTGCACT